TTTCCTGACAGACTAATAGTGAAAGTGTTACTTTTCTTACTTTATTATTTAAAATGTATTCCGTCTCGACCTCTTCTTCTAGATAGGCTGAGACTGACCAAGGCCAGACGAGGGGATAGGGAGGTAATCAGTGCCGGAATAAAAGCATGTCGTAACCTGGTTCTGGGCTGTTTTGCAGTAGGGCGGCGATCCTGGAAGGTCGCCAAAGGACCTGTGAAGGTTCCCACCCGGGCAACGTTTGAGACCCGCGTATATTTTTGTTTGGAGTTAATAAACGCCTGTGTTCAACCAACCTGCTCTTTCCGTCCCTATTTGCACCCTGTGTGAGCGGAGAGGCTCACAGTCGGTTTATCCGGTATAACCACAGCTTTCTACGCTTTTCCTTTCTACATGGCTGTGACAGGGATTCTTTATCACTGGCCCAAAAAAACGATCCAAACCATCTCAAAGTGAATAACAAGGTCAGCTCAACTGCTCCTTCTTAATTTTTATGTTTATGTAAAGCATTTGTCATCAACAACAGCTTCATACTTGTTTTGTTTTCAAAGTGAAAGTAGGTGGTTACTTTCACTCTGACAGAAGTCTCAAAACACTGTCACTGGTTAAGAAAGTCACGACAACAAAAACCTCCTGCTCGCATTCAATGCCCTTCACAACCTGGCTGACCTCCTTCAAGAGTACACCCCCTCTCGCTCCCTTTGCTCTTCCTCTGCTGGCCGGCTAACCGCCCCCACCCCATACCTATTCACCATGGGTGCTCAGGCCTTTAGCTGCCCTGCTCCCAAATGATGGAACTCTCTCCCCCCACACATCTGACAGTCTGACACAATCACCACCTTCAAGTCCCACCTCAAAGCCCACCTGTTCAGATCAGCATACTCACTGCAGTATGTCAACACCCACTCCAGTGAAATACCACGATTAAATTCCTAACTTCATACCACCGTAAAAAAGAAAGTTGTCAAACCACTCAGTTTCATTTCCCTTGGAGGAATCATTTTCACGTCAGTCCAGAAGCAGAGAGCAGTACATGGTATCATTTCAAAGTGTCGCCCTGTAACTAGTGCTCATCAAAGAGCCACTGCAGCCAGCTGAATGGAGACAGTTGTCACGCATCGTCTGCCTTCTTTCTTACCTTCGTTGATTTTCGCCATGTCTACACTGGCGTTGTTGAGCTGCAGCGCGGTCTGAAGTGCCGGGAGGAGCTGGCGGAGCAGGGCGGGGTCATGGAGGAGTGGGGGGGCAGGGGACTGCAGGACTGGGGACACGGGCACCGTGGAGGCTGATGAGCCGTGGGGCCCCGATGAGGCGTTCAAGCCCCCAGAGCCAGAAGATGACGATGACTGCGTTGCTGCAGGCTTCTCCACCTGGGCTGACTCTGCAGAAAGGAGGAAGCCATTCCATGAACAAAGGCAGTCTCACAAATCAATTCTTACCAAGTGATAATGCAGTTGCTCAACATTGAGCAAGTGAAAGCACACATCAGCCCCATTATGGAATGCCATCACATCCTTTGGCTGTGCAGAAGACATGCATATAAAAAGACACACAGAGATTCGGCCCTGCAACTTCTGGCAATCTACAAATAGGGTTTATGGCCCTGCATGGCATTCTGTGACAAGATATCATACATCAGGAGACAAGGACAGGTGCAGACTTGCTTGAGCTTCTGAGCAATACATACTACAATCTGTGAGTCATTCAAACTAGAAAATGTGAAGGCATCTCCAGAGCTACATCGCTTGTTGTATTTGACTCAATATGAACGAGAAAAAGCTGCTCATAGAAGGGTAAGTGAATACATCATAATTACAGTACAAAAAACGAGCGACCAATTACCGACTCTGAATCATGCTTAATAACCAAGCTGTGTGGTAGGATTAAGTGCGGTCGAAATGTTGGCTGTAGGTCGGCATAGGGGTTCCTACAGACCCTCGCCGATCCTTAAAGATTTTCACCAAAATCATGAATTTGTCTTAAGGCTGCGTTGGAACAGACTGAAGCCTTCCATGAGATAAAACAGCCCTCTCATTCATTTAAGGATACTCTGGCATCTCAGCATGATGCCAACAGAGGGTTTAACTATAGCAGTATTGGCTGTACAACAGGCTCCATCACATGCAAGGGAGCACACATTCCTGGTAGACTCCACTCCGAATTAAAAACAGTTAACAGTTGTGTTTTGCCCTCTGATAAACCTTTTATTCTGTTAATCTGGATTTCTTCAAATGCATTTCACTGTCTCTAAAGGGACCTTGAATAACATTCCCCCCAACAGAAGGCCCCCTTTGCTATTTAAGCGCACTGCTCTCTGGATAAGACGGTGCCCCGACAACTAAATATTTGCTTTTGCAACATGAATTGAAAATGTGTTAGTTGATTTAGTTGTCAAGGTATGGCATGATATAATTACAAGTTTCAAATTAAAATCCTTTGAAGTGTCAATGCAAGTTTTGCATGTATGAAAAATGAAAGAAGCCAAGAATAATCTAAAAAAGCACCTTATATTTCAACTGGTGTTTTTGTTTGTGCAAAGTTAGGCGATTTAAATGTTATTATATATCAATGAGTCCCTAACACCTATATTATATGTGAAACTAGTCATTTGAGAATGTAAAAGCTCCGTATACACAGGGCTCAGTAATAACTGAACGTCAGCTTCAGTCAACATTTTGACTGAGGGCAGAACATCTCCATCTGCCTCTAATGCAACACAGAGTTCCTGCCATGTGATCACCCACAGTTATTAGGAGCCGTTATTAGTGATGATGCTACAGGCCAAGCTGCCCTCTATGAGTCTAACACTGGTCTTGATTAGCCAACTATCATATATTATAATTATTATGAAGTATATTCAGCAAGTGTTACGATCAACAGAAGTTTCAGACATCAGCACTAGCTTTCCACAGCAAGTGAACAGGGGTTTCTGCAGTGACAATGTCCCTCGTGACAGAATGACTTCTGGTAAATTGTCCTAATGGAATGAACATGGGGTTAGTGAACCCACATCAATGAATCCAGACAGAACACAACATGTAGATTGTTTGTGTCTTTGCTTTGACACCTAGCTTGTTCGGACAAGTTGTTGGAGCGTTTCACCCTCAGGTTCAGTAGGGCTGTACCCGAATATCTGAATATTCGGTCGTTGGCCTACTATTCGGTTTTCAATTTCGTTATTCGTTTTTCTTCTTCTTTTTTCTCCTAAATGTATGCTATCAATAAAGGCGAATTGCCACATTCTTATACTTTTTAATTGCACTGTTAAAATGCGGAAATATATACGATCTCAGCTTGGGCGCCTGATATCGCTTTCAATAGCTAGATCTGATCGATATAGACATAAACGCGAGTGAAGTCTAATCTGACAAGAGAGAGAGAGAGATCAGCTGCTGCTGACGAGTCGACACGCAGCTCTGCATAATGACCTGCAGCGGTGAGCGGAGAAAAACACACACTTCAGGTTAGAAAATCACACTTAGCTATTTTAATAAATGTATTTAGCCTACCTTTCAAACTACAGTACCTAAACTAGTTATAGATATGTTTATTTTTACTATTGGGTCACTCAGTCATTACTAGATCAGCGAACTGCATGAGATACTGACGGGCTGTCAGGAGAGGGAGAGAGCTCTCTCTTACTGTAAACTTTTGAATAATGTAGTTACTACTACTACTATAATTAATGAAGCTGCTTTATCCGCAGTTTAAACAGTAACGTAATAAATGATAAAAACGTGCACACCCCGAATATTCGCTGCTGATTACTACCACCCCCCACCCCCCCCGCCCCCCCCCCGCCGAATATTACTACCGAATATTACTACCGAATATCCGGCATCCGAAAAATGGTATTCGGGACAGCCCTAGGGCTCAGTTCATCGACATAAAAACACTGCAATTGCAGGGGTGGCAAAACAGAGGGGGGGGGGTCTTGATCTTGCTTTCTATTGTCCTCAAGCTGTTTTATTTGTTTACATTCAGAACAACAAGGCTAAAAGATAGTGTAATCAAGTTTGCCTGATGTGCAAAGGAGAACAATTGTGGCGTGTGTGTGTGTGTGTGTGTGTGTCAGTATGCACCCATCAGAGCTAACCTCCAACAGCACACTCATGAGCTGACAATCTTTTACCACTATGCATCAGGACATTGTTTTCTTGTCACAGTTTAGATGTACACTGGCACCTTCCCATGTTGTTGCTCTCTTGCCTCATTTTAAGTTTAACAAATGTAATATCTAGGACTTAAATATCCACAGGAACCCTGAGAATATTTGGTTCAAAAGGCTACAAACCAATTAAAACAGGATATTAAAAACGCGGAGAAAGGTTTGAGGTAAATCTTCCCAGTAACACCAGCTTGCTCGGACACAGAATTCCTTTTCCTTATAAAACACTGTTAAGAATGAGCACAAACAAACAAATCAATCCTCTGTATCGAATGAGTCCCTGAACTGGCACACGCAGTACATGTCTGAATTAGCCCTTTGTATGTCGTCGTTCTATGCATGCAACTGTCAAAGGCATTTCATAGATTATGGGAGTGGTTAGAAACAGGTTATTCATGATACATGTCATCCTCTCAGTGATAGCTTAAGTATCTTTGGAGTAGTTTGATAGAGGAGCACCACCGTCTTGAAATCATTACAAAACATTGAACCTAGGAGAAATATCATTTTCAGGTGACTGAATATTACCCCGTTTGGCACTACTATCCTGCAACAATGTGTGAGCTTTAGCCAGGAATATATGTATTATTGAAACAAACAAAAAGGTCCGACTAGGGGTGCATACCGGTTCCCGGTATTACCGAAATAACGGTTACTGGCGGCTGCTAAAATCAGATCCGGTTTGACACAATTTTTTTCTTTTAATAAAAATTAGGCGTAATGTCCTTAAACTCGCACCCAAACCGTCGGAATTACGATGTCAATTTCGCTGTGAAACTCCGCAAACGAGTCACTTTAGATTTGCATATGACTGCCAGTCTGAATGGTGGGGTCTGTAACCACTGCAAGAAGTTTATTTCTCGGAAAGGTGGCAACACATCCAACCTCCAACCAATGCTGTCTCGTATGGAAACTAAGTACCTTTGTGTTCAGGGAAGCAGCGTGCCAAGCAAGGGAGTGTTCAGTTCAGCAGGTGATATCCCAGCTTCTTGAAGATGAATGCACAAAACTGAACTGATGGGATTTGTTTTCTTTCATCAGGCAAATGTTGATTTTAATGAAGCCATTTGTTTTATGTGCAATGCCGAGATCTCATGATCCTTTATGTGTTCTCTGGTCAGTTGAATCTCAGGTTGAATATTGATTATACTGGTGCTATTTTCTCTGGTGCCAAGATGTACTTGGTACACCTGATGGTTGTTATAAATGATATTGCAGAATCTGTTTTCTTCATAGATAACGTGTTTTTCATTGTTTGTTCAGTACTAAAAAGGTCCCACAATTAAATGTAATATTCATTTGACATGTTAACTATATCATAAAGCACTTCATGAGAGTAATTGCAGGATGATTCAATTGTTCCCTTATGCAACTTGAAAGTATCACAATATGTATCGGTATCGTTCAGTGGTATTGGTATCGTAAAAAAGCAACGATATGCAACAATAGGTCAGACACATCGTACGTCAGCTATTTCCACCAAGACTATCTTTATAGGGTTGACAACCAGATGGGGTACAACACTCTGGACGACATGCAGACTGAATTGAAGTGCGTGCGTGCGTGCGTGCATGCGTGCGTGCGTGCGTGGTGTAAACAAACTGAGAGAACTGTATCAGAACAGAAACACTGATCCATCAGAAACAGTTTGCCTTGCTCAGTTATGGTGCAGTGTGTATGGAAATGACAAAGAATCTGAGAAAAAACGATACGTTCTGATGAAGAATTGGCCAACTGGAGATGAACGTGAAATCCAAGTGAGCTGTTGCTTTGCAGTAAAGTCTCATGAACGGAATTATACTGCATCATAGGGCTGTGCAATTAATCGTATTTTAGTCGCGATTACGATTATGGTTTGCGACGATTATGAAAACAGCATAATTGACAAAATACGATTATTTAGCTGGGTGCGCTTTCGCCCCTCCCTAAAAGCCCACTCGGCCACGTGGGAGTGACATGTGTTGTGAGTGTTCAGCGCGAGCGAAGATGTCAGAACAAGAGCAGCAACTCGTTAAGAAGAAGGGTCTCGGGGAGATTCCCAGTCGATCGCGAGATACGTCTAAAAATAGAACAACAATATTCAGTTTTATCGTTAATGTAACATAATCTTCCTGTGCCAGAATAATGCACTTGAACGCATCAAAGCTTTGTGATTGGCCGGCGTCACCCCATGTGTCGGGGCGTGGCTGGTGGGCAGTGGGCACTATTTCGCT